TAACTTCCGAAAGTCATTCGATCACCACTCTTCAAGGCTCCACTCACTCCACTCTTTGCTACTGCCTTCCCTCTGAGACGCCAGCTCACTCCTGCAGCTTCCAGCACTCCTGCAGCTTCCAGCAGTCTCCAGCTCACTCCTACCACTTCCAGCTCACTCCTGCAGCTTCCAGCACTCCTGCAGTCTCCAGCTCACCCCAACAGCTTCCAGCGGCCTCCAGCTCACCCCTGCGGCGCTCTACTGACGTCCCGCTACCTATTCCAGCACCCGCTGACGATCTAATCCAGTGCCCACTGACGTCCAGCGCCCGTTAACGTCCGGACACCGTTCCCGAATAAACGACCTCTGTCGTCTTACCATCCACCGTTCGCAAATAAAGACACGATTTCCATCGTCTACAACGGACCATCTGCGTTTGTCATCCTTCTTTGCTATTGCCATCTCCATGCCTTTGTGTCCCCTATTTTGAGTCGTACGGTCGATTGGCACTCACACCTCTCGGCCCGCTGCAACAAGTGGTGACCCCGATGTGATATATGGACACAGGCAAACGGCTAGCAGAGAAGATGGCAGAACAAACCGAAACAGAAATCAACACATCAGCCGCCATACAACTCGATCAACACCAGGAGTTGGTTTATTCAACTTGAGGCGATATTTTTAGCACGAAAGGTTACACGACAGGACACTAAATATGCCTCCCTGGTACAAGCCTTACCAGCATCAATCATTGAAGAAGTGGAAGACATCCTTCTCAATACTCCGGACCAACTCCCATACACCTGCCTCAAAGAAGCCATCCTCAAACGGACGTTAATGGGCACTGGACGTCAGCTGGAAGCTGCAGGAGTGAGCTGGAGGCTGCAGGAGTGAGCTGGCGTCTCAGAGGGAAGGCAGTAGCAAAGAGTGGAGTGAGTGGAGCCTTGAAGAGTGGTGATCGAATGACTTTCGGAAGTTAGCCCTGAAAAGGACTGTTTGAACAACTGCTGCTGGGTCCCGTCAGCTGCTGGGCTTGGTCGACTTGACTGGGCGCGTCAAAGTCGCGAATCAGGAAGGCTTCCTGCTCCCTGGCCGGCTAAAAACCGCTGCAAAGTCTCGGGCATCTAGATATGACGGTTCATACAAGAGAAGCAGTGACGCTAAACAAGTAAATGAATATAATTAATTTCGGGACGTATTAATTACAGTCAAAAGTGTGTTCGGTATTTGTTGACTGTATTTAAATTAATTTCGGTTCGAAATTAAAGGTCTTTTATTTTTGTTTAGTGGCGAAAATTGAATTTTGTGTGTTTCTGTCAGTTTGAAAGGATGTCGTTGCTATTTTTAGCACACAAGGGTCGTGACCTTTCTCTACCAGCAGGCATATCCGGGGTTGTTTAAGAAAAGGTGGGAGTGGTGTTTGGGCACACTGCGACACACTAATTCCCAAAGTATTGACGTTTGTAGCCTCCCTGTGTACCAAAACACAACCCTAACGCTTCCCCTCTCTAAATGTATATTCGACATTTGACTGGATTCTCTTGCCACTAAGTTTGCATGACAAATGAGTACCTAAGTATTTCCCAGAAGAATTGCTATATAAAATGGGGCACATTGTAAAGTGAAGGCAAGACACACTTCAGGTGTGTGTGTGTGTGTGTGTGTGTGTGTGGTGTATGTTATGGTTCAGATGTGCCTCTACCACCCTCTAGCTGCCTTATTTTAGTTTGATAAATTAAGTTATGTATTATTTATTCTAAATAATAGAAGGTTTTGAATATAACTGTTTTCTTTTAATTTTTTAACATTTTTATTGTCATGTATCTTGGCTTACGAAAGGAGTATGTCTTTTAAGATAATATTTGAAAAAATTTGGGGTGCAGATTTATATTTTGGCAAGATTCAATAGTAGCACTCTCAAGAATTTCCCATCGAAGTAAGTTACTTTCTATTTTAATAAGTCCGGCATTCTTTAGATTGAAATTGTGCTTGAATTTATTTCTATTTATGACTAATGTATTTGATAAACTGTTGTGTATAAGATCCTTTTTGTGTTCATAGATACATTTTTTTAAAATTTCTGCAAGTTTCCCCAATGTATTAAAAATAAAAAATAAGTAAATAAAGAAAAAACAAGCAAAATTAATCCAAATAAATAAATAAATGAACAAATTGACAAATCGCTCCCACTAAAATAAACATTAGAATTAATAAAAATAAACATAAATGAGCAAAAACAAATAAATAAATAAATAAAATAATATAAAAATTAAAAACTGTCCACCGCCAAAATAACAGAATAGACTGAGGCAATCAATCCAAAAATTGGACAAATAAATAGCTTTATCTTCCCAGACCAAAACAAACTATGAAATAAGCGACCTCAGCAAATCTACCCCATCAAAAAAATTTTTAGTACATTAATAAAACATCAAAAACCGAAAAGAAGAAATAAATATATAAAATAAAAAACACGTAAAATAAAATAACCCAAATAAATAAACAAGCCACTCCCACCAAAATAAACACCAGAATGGAATACCCACAATGCACCACTGACCCATATATAAAAATAGTCGAGAAAAATCCAACACTTGTGGCCTAACAATTGCATTTAGCATGAAACACCCTGTTGCCTCTGAGTGTTGACTTCAATGTTCACTTTTATATTTTTATTTACATATGTTCTAGCTCTGATATTGAGCACTTTATCCCATAAATATAGCACACCTTAAATCTATATTTCTTCATATATACATATATATATATATATAAATATATATATGTAGGTAGGTAGGTAGTTTTTCATTCATACATCTATTATTTTGTTGTCATTGGTGGGGTTCTGTTGTTTTTGTGCAAGTGCCAGTATTGGCAATAAGGACCATGGACTGTGGGTTATCCCACTTGATTTTGCTAAAAAAAACTCTCACTAGGGGACACTCCTTAAGCCTATAAAAAAAAAGGTACATTTTTCTCCATACTCACTTTTTTCTCTTTTACAGCTTTTGGCTATAAGATATAGTTGCACGTTGTCGTCCCCACCCCACCCACTGGGTGGGGGGGTCCAACACCCACCAGGTCATGTTCATTCTCATAGTTTTACTTTTGTCTTTTGACTTTTTATACTCTTTCAGACACGTGTCCATCATGCAGGCTGACACTAATTTCACTCACACAAAAACACACCTTCTCTAGTTTTAAATATTTATTATGCAATTAGTCTTTAAATGTTTTCCTCTTTTAATGCAATCGTAATTCCTTTTGTCAATACAATAAATTATTTGCCATATGTTTTATATTGTTTTGTGTTACTCATTTTTTATCTGAACTCACATAGAGTCCAGTAATATTGTTTGTGAATAATTAACTCTCCAAAGTATTGATTCCTGCAACATAATGGTGACTAAATATTTACTTAAACATACCAGCAATCCTGTGACAGGACAATTCCTGCATTGAAATAGTAAGATGCCTTCCAAAAGCAAAACAAAGTATAAAGATATAGGAAAATTTTGTTAGAAACAAAGAAATTAGTGCAGAACTGCTACATAATATCAATCCTGTTATATGGCATTGAATATTGAATATTAAACAACTTTCTAACATATAAAGACAGGGATGTAGTTTTACAGAAGGCTGCTGAGAACACCATGGACAGGGCATGTGAATAATGGGGAAGTTTTAAGGAAAATGAAAATAAAAATGACACTTAGAAACAAAAAGAGAATGGGATCTATAATGAGGAAAGAGGTCTTGACACTCATAAAGCATATAAAGAAAGATAGATAGAAAGAAAAGAAAGAAACATACAGAAAAATACATAAGAAAGAAAAGAGAGAAATATTGTTGGAATTGAATTTGAGAACAATATTTTACAAGTTCACATTCTCGTTATTTTTCTATCCTCACTCCAACCTCTTTTTACTTTCAAAACCAGCTCCCAAAGCCTTGATTATTATCAGAGATAAGAATATGTTTTCTGACTAACAAGAGAGCTGGAAAATATTAAAAGGAATTCCACCACCATTATTCTTTCCATGGTGCCATACAATCTGGGAGAAACCTCACAGCTTGTCCACTCCAAGCTGTTTTAATTACTTTCAAAAACCGGCTCCCAGAGCCCTGATTCTTATCAGAGATAAGAATGTTTTCTGACCAAGAGAGGGGCCGGGAAATTTGTTCAATGATTTTGTAGGGGAAAGTCCCCGATCCTTCTGAGCCTCCCAAATCTCCATAAATTTGAAGAATCTATGCCTATTTGGCAGTGAGAATTCGACCACCGTCTGTGAGGTCGACGATAGGGAGCTTCAGTCAACTTCAGAACCACTTTCAACCAAAGAAGAAATTCCTGGTGGGCTGGAGAGACAGACCGTCAGTCGACTACTGAAGACCAATTGAAAGCTGCATCCCTTCACCACTCCTTCTGTCGTGCCCACTGGACTTCTGTTGTCAACCTACAAACTCACTCAACAGCAAGATTCCTATATCTACCAACATTTTCCTACTCTACAAGAACTGTGAGTGTTTCTAAACCTTAACAAAATTCTACTTGCTTAAAGAACTTTTAGACACTCAGAGAAATATTTTGAGCAAGCCTTTTTTCTGTTATGGACATTTTCTCTTTTCCCTTTCTTAAACTCCTAATTGTCTTTATCTCTTTACCCATTTTTTTTCTGTATATGTAAATAAACACTTTATTCTTTTATTGTTACACACCGAGTGGTAGTTTTTTCTTTATTTGTACACGCCTAAAAGAAAGAGTTTATCCGCTCTAATCTTGTTGTTTTTTACTCGCGTTTTGTCGCAATATTTAACTTCAACCCAATTTTTTAACCTCAACCCTTGGATGTGGGAAAGCCGGGACAAACTTTCCCCACAATATACAAAAGAAATAAAGAAAGAAACATAAAAAAGAAAGATACAAAAGAAAAAATAGAAAGATATGTAAAAGAGATACAAAAGAAAGAAAAACACAAAAGAAGCAAAGAAAGATACATGAAAGAAACAAACAAGAAAAATCAAAGAATCATATGAAAGAAAGAAAGATACAAAAGAAAGAAAGAAAGATACATAAGAAAGACACAAAAGAAAGAAAGAAAGATACATAAGAAAGACACAAAAGAAAGAAAGAAAGATACATAAGAAAGACACAAAAGAAAGAAAGAAAGATACATAAGAAAGACACAAAAAAAAGAAAGAAAGATACATAAGAAAGACACAAAAGAAAGAAAGAAACATAAGAAAGACACAAAAGAAAGAAAGAAAGATACATAAGAAAGACAGAAAAAGAAAGAAAGAAAGATACATAAGAAAGACACAAAAGAAAGAAAGAAAGATACATAAGAAAGACACAAAAGAAAGAAAGTAAGATACATAAGAAAGACACAAAAGAAAGAAAGAAAGATACATAAGAAAGACACAAAAGAAAGAAAGAAAGATACAAAGAAAGACACAAAAAAAGAAAGAAAGATACATAAGAAAGACAGAAAAAGAAAGAAAAAAAGAAAGATAAATGAAAAGACACAAAAAAAAGAAAGAAAGATACAAAGAAAGACACAAAAGAAAGAAAGAAAGAAAGATAATAAAGAAAGACACAAAAGAAAAGAAGAAAGATACATAAGAAAGACACAAAAGAAAGAAAAAGAAGATACAAAGAAAGACAAAAAATTTTTTAAAAAGTAAGATAAAAGAAAGACAAAAAAGAAAGAAAGAAAGAAATAATAAAAAGAAAGAAAGAAAAAAGAAAGAAAAAAGAAAGAAAGAAAAGAAAAGAAAGAAAGAAAGAAAAAAAGAAGAAAAGAAAAAAGAAAAGAAAGAAAAAAGAAAGAAAAAGAAAGAAAGAAGAAAAAAGAAAAAAAAAAGAAAGAAAGAAAAAAAAGAAAGAAAGACAGAAAAGAAAGAAAGAAAGATACAAAAAAAAAAAAAAAGAAAGAAAAAAGAAAAGAAAAGAAAGACACAAAAAAAAAAAGAAAGAAAGAAGAAAGAAGAAAAAGAAAGAAAGAAAGAAAAGAAAGACACAAAGAAAGAAAGAAAAGAAAGAAACACAAAAGAAAAAAAAGAAAGATAGAAAGAAAGAAAGAAAAGAAAGAAAGAAATACATAAGAAAGACACAAAAGAAAAAAAGTAAGATAATAAAAAAGACAAAAAGAAAGAAAGAAAGATACAAAGAAAGACACAAAAGAAAGAAAGAAAGATACATAAGAAAGACACAAAAGAAAGAAAGAAAGATACATAAGAAAGACACAAAAGAAAGAAAGAAAGATACATAAGAAAGACACAAAAGAAAGAAAGAAAGATACATAAGAAAGACACAAAAAAAAGAAAGAAAGATACATAAGAAAGACACAAAAGAAAGAAAGTAAGATACATAAGAAAGACACAAAAGAAAGAAAGAAAGATACATAAAAAAAGAAAAAAAAAAAAAAAAGAAGATATATAAGAAAGACAAAAAGAAAGAAAGAAAGATACATAAGAAAGACACAAAAGAAAGAAAGAAAGATATAATAAGAAAGACACAAAGAAAGAAAGAAAGATACATAAGAAAGAAAGAAAGAAGAAAGAAAGAAAGAAAGATAAATAAGAAAGACAAAAAAAAAGAAAGAAAGATAAATAAGAAAGACAGAAAGAAATTTTGAGAAAGAAAATAAGAAAGATAAAAAAGAAAGAAAAATAAAGAAAAAAAGAAAGAAAGAAAAGAAAGAAAGAAAGATACAGAAGAAAAAAAAAGAAAGAAAGAAAGATAAATAAGAAAAAGACACAAAAGAAAGAAAAAAAAAGATACATAAGAAAGAAAAAAAAAGAAAGAAAAGAAAGAAAAAAAGAAATTTAAAAAAAGAAAAAAAGAAAGAAAGAAAAGAAGAAATAAATAAGAAAAGAAAGAAAGAAAGAAAGAAAAGAAAGATTTGGAAAGAAAAGAAAAGAAGATAAATAAAGAAGAAACAAAAAAAAGAAAGAAAGATACATAAGAAAGAAACAAAAGAAAGAAAAATAATACATAAGAAAAAAAGAAAAAAAAAAGAAAGATACATAAGAAAGACACAAAAGAAAGAAAAAATATATATAAAGAAAGACACAAAAGAAAGAAAGAATAAGATACATAAGAAAGACACAAAAATAGAAAGAAAGATAAAGAAAAATGACACAAAAGAAAGAAAGTAAGATACATAAGAAAGACACAAAAGAAAGAAAGAAAGATACATAAGAAAGACACAAAAGAAAGAAAGAAAGATAATAAAGAAAGAAAAAAAAAGAAGAAAGAAAGATAATAAAGAAAGAAACAAAAGAAAAAAAGAAAAAGATAAGAAAGAAAAAAAATAAAGAAAAGAAAGAAAGAAGAAAAGACACAAAAGAAAGAAAAATTCTAAGATTAAAAAAAAAGAAAAAAATGAAGAAAGATAAGATAAATACAAAAAATAAAAAAGAAAGAAAGAAAGAAAAAGAAAGAAAAAAAGAAAATTAAGAAAGAAAGATAAAAAGAAAGACAAAAAGAAAGAAAAAAATAAAGAGAAAAAAAAGAAAAAAAGAAAGAAAATAAGAAAGATAAGAAAGAAACAAAAGAAAGAAAGAAACATAAGAAAGACACAAAAGAAAGAAAGAAAGATACAAAAGAAAGAAAAAAAAAAAAAAAAAAAGAAAGAAAGACAGAGAAACAAAAAAAAAAAAGAAAATAAAAGAAAGAAAAGAAAAGAAAAAAGTAAGATACAAAGAGAAAGACACAAAAGAAAGAAAGAAAGATACATAAGAAAGACACAAAAGAAAGAAAGAAAGATACATAAGAAAGACAATTTGAAGAAAAGAAAAAAGAAAGAAAAAAAGAAAGAAAGAAAGAAAAAAGAAAGAAAAAAGAAAGAAAGAAAGACAAGAAAGACAAAAGAAAGAAAGAAAGAAAAAAAAAAGAAAAAAAAAAAAGTAAGAAAAAAAGACAAAAAAAGAAACAAAGAAAGAAAAAAAGAAAGAAAGAAAGAAAGAAAATAGAAAAAGACAAAAAGAAAAAGATAAATCTACAAAGAAAGACACAAAAGAAATAAAGAAAGATACATAAGAAAGACACAAAAGAAAGAAAAAAAAACCAATATAAGAAAAAACACAAAAGAAATAAAGAAAGATACATAAGAAAGACACAAAAGAAAGAAAGAAAGATACATAAGAAAGACACAAAAAAAAGAAATATTAAAGATAAATAAGAAAAGACAAAAAAAAAGAAAGTAAGATACAAAGAAAGACACAAAAGAAAGAAAGTAAGATACATAAGAAAGACACAAAAGAAAGAAAGAAAGATACATAAGAAAGAAAGACAGAAAAAGAAAGATACATAGATACAAAGAACAGTCCGAAAACCAGAAACCAAATTACCAAAAGACATTCAGCAGCAACAACAACTAAAAGTTTTTCACTTTCAAAGAAAAAAATTTTAGATTAAAGAACAATAACTCTTCAATATTTGAACTTGAGTTATCTCCCCTGTTATTTCGTAAATTTTGATTATTTGTAGAAGCAAAGAATGTCTGAGTTAATTCACAAGGTTTGACCGAACTCTCGAGCTTTGGGTGAAAGGAAAATTCATGAATTCCAAACTGTGGAGAAAACAACAGGAAACCACTCTTGTATCTCCCCACCCCCAATAAAAAGCTATGGCAATTTACAGATGACAAAGAAAACGCATATTTGGTGAGTCATGATTGCATTACACCCTGAAGGGACTTGGCATTTAAAAGAAAAAAAAAACTTGTGAAAGAGATCAAGAATAAACAATAAAGATGAAGAAATAACAACTAAAAATGAATAAATAAATACATATATAAATAAATCAAGGTTTGTGTTAAATTAATTCCAAAAATATGAGAGTGTGAGTTTTGCTGGAGGTTATTTCATTTATTTCTGATACACAATATTTTCTTCAAAGCTCATAGTAATAATGATCTGGACAATGTGATTCAAAAAAAAAAAATAATAATAATAATAATAATAATAATAATAATAAAAAAAAAAACTAGTGAAAAATTAATAATGAAAATAATCATACAAAAATTCATACAGTCCCTAAATCCAAACATGAAATACAGCTACTCCTCACTTAATGACTATTTAACAACCCCTTAACTTATAATCACCTATAAAATCTAATAAAATAAAATAAAAATTTAAAAAACGTCTAGTCGGTACATTGTACAAAACATTTAAGGATGAGTATTTTCTGTTTCTTCAAAATAAATAAAATGAAGAAATACTGAAAAATAAATAAAAATTTACTTGTAATGTATTTACAGGATGCAAACCAAAGTCATGTACAGAATATAGATTTTTGAATTTGTTTATCATGTTTACTGTTCAGTCAACTACTGTAAAAAATTTAGAAATAAATCAGAAATGCTACAAATGGTGCAAAAGTGACATTAAAGCTATCTGAAGCTGGTTATACAAAAACAATTACAGGTGCAGAATACCTGAAATAGCGCTTTGGTATAAAAAACTTATTTAATGACCAACTCATTTAAATATTATTATCATTAAGTGATGAATGACTGTTTCAAAATATTTTATTCACTGACAACTTTTCATGGAATGGTCAGTTTTATAGACATCAGTTTTCTTTGTCCTGTCATCTTCGTCTAAAAAAAGAATTAATCTTCTTTCTATCACTTTCTCTCAGATTGAGCCACTTGCTCTTGTACTTTGAAGTTGACTCCAATTACTGATAGCAATTGGTCGAAAGTAAATGTTCCATATTAAGTTGTGCAACAGGTCCTGTTGTTTTAAGTTTAACAACATCTCAGTTTGACTCATATTGCTTAATGAACTTCTCACTTAGTGACCAGGTCATTTAATGATAAGCCCATTGAGCAATTTGGAAAAAAAAAGTTAAAACATTTAGAAATAAATCAGAAATGCTACAAATATTGCAAAAGTAACATTAAAACTATCTGAAGCTGGTTGACACAAACCAATTACAGGTGCAGAATGCCTGAAACAGAACTCAGATACTACTTCTCGTTTAACGACCAACTCGTTTAGCGACGATGTCATTAAGTGAGGAATGACTGTTTCAAAATATTTTATTCACTGACAACTTTCAATAAATGAATGAATTATTTTTTTTAATAAGAAATCATGCTCTAAAATAAATATATCATTTTCTCAAAGTTATTCTTGAACATTTAAACAATTCCCATTGTGATCAAAAATAAAAAAGTTAACATTAAGGGCAGAAAATCTATTTTCTCTCAATTGTTAAAAGACAAAAAGTTTTTTTCCCCTTTAACAAGGCAATACTGCCACTAAGACGCAAGGGGTTATTGGGTGTTAGAGAGTATGAGGAAAAAACACGATTAAGGAGAAAGAACAATAAAAGAATCAGAATTAAGAAGACAAGATAACAATTGACATTGCACTTAAATTTTTGAAGCAAGAAGCCACAGGAAAGTTCCACAAGCAAGAAGTGTGATAGGAGAAACTGTTAGCATAGAACTTACATCGAGCTAATTCAACTGTAAAATGATGAGACCTTGCCACTAATCTTGTACCATGTTTAGATTCATAAAGCCTAGGTACCACCATAGCAGAAAGTTCATCAGAACAATTACCATAAAAGTATTTACAGAAGGCACAGGGAAGCTACGTCATGGCGGTGGGAAAGTGAAGCTGAGATGCCAGGTCAGGACCAATAACATTGCAGATTCTTCTTTAAATTTTATCAAAAATCTCTAAATATATAGCAGGAGCACTAGACAATAAGCATGGCAGCAATATTCAAAGCAAGGGCAAATGGTAGACTTATAAATATGTACGATAATTTCTGGTGAGAAAAATTGTCTAGTATGCCATGGGAAACCAACTTTCCTCGCAGCAGACCTAGCAATTGATTCAATATAATCTTTAAACTTCATGTCAACGGAAAACGTCAGTCCAAGAAAGTGCAATGAGTCACTCTCCTCATGGTTAGCATCTACCATGCTGATGGAAGGTAAAGAGTTCTTTCAAACAATTAAAAGAGAGCATTGAAAGAACGCTTTTCCCTTGACACCGCCATTATTTTAACTACCTTCCCGCCTTGGTAATGTCTACTGTTTTAAAAAGCGATTATTAGAATTGTAATAAAATATAAATATATAAAAATGAATTTACACTATACATTTTCTTTCTTCTCGAGAAAACAAAAATATTAAACAATATTTATTTTTTATATAGTTTATTGGAATGGTTGGCAAAACATCAGCTAAATGCCAATTGATTTGAAATTTATAAAATGGTAAAAAATAGATTATTATTTGGTTTGCATAATTTAGTAAATGTTTCTCAATTTATGAATAAAAAAATGTTTTCATATTTATTTCTTTATAAATTGATAAATATTGCATTGTATTAGTTTTAATTGTATTAGTTTTTAGAATGTAATTATAAAATTATTCTTGTAAATATACAATCTAATAAATAAATTGTGATTAATATTTTTGTTGTAAATTCTCAAGACCAAAAAAATGTATAAATTCACTTTCATCATATGTTTAGGTTTTATTACAATTCTAATCATCACTTTTTAAAACAATTGTCAAGGATGGAAGGTAATTAAAATAATAGTGTGTTGTGGAGTGATTTCACAATGGAGGCTTGTATTTGTACTAAGTCGGTCCTAAAATAGGTTTGACGTACAAAACATTAGGAACTTGATATAATAGTTATGACGCAGAGTAATCTAGTTGTGGTCGCTGATACTTTAGTATTCGACTAACTGTCGTCTGCCATCGACTGACTCACCGACTGACTCGTTACTCTTACTACTCCTATTTATTATAGGTGGGAGAGTCTATTAACTATAGAATAGGTGTGTTCCACCATAACATAGTGGTATCAAGGGAAAAACCGTCCTTTCAATAAACTGCCTTTTGTAGCATAAAGATCCAAGTTTACCAGATATTTTATAGTCTTGGAACTTGCAAGGAGCTTATTCAATCATTAAATCAGGTATTTCTATATTTCATCTTTGATCATTCGAGTAGATTTATTTTATTACAAGAAATATTTTTACACGTAATCTTTCCTTTTCTTTTCTTGCAAATTTTTTTTCGTAGTTACCCATTTTTTGTTTTTTTGTCGTATTTTTACTCCTTTTTTCAATCAGTTTCCTTTAAGGATAAATTTTAGGAGTTTCTTATTTTAACTAAAATTTACACATTATTATGTTTCTTTTTTAACTAGTATTTAACATGTAAATATCTTGATTAATTTTTTTTTAAACAATTTTAGTTAAATGTTATTTCTCTTAGTTTATTAGTGTATCAATCAATATCCCAAATTATTCATGCCGTATTTTAGGAGTTTTTTTTGTAAATAGTCTAAGTCATTTTAATCATTCTATTGCAAACATTTTGTTAAGTGTAGTTAAGAAAACTGAGAATCAAAAGGAAAGTTATAAAAAGAGAAAAAAGACCAAACAAATAAGATATAATAGAGAAGTTAAAAAAGGAGGAAGAGAAAGAAAAGTCGTAAGACGAGCCAATATAATAAATCATTTTTTATTTTATTAATGTATATATATTTATTGGTTTGTTTTCTTTTCTTCTTCCAAAACAAACACCTTGTCTTGGCCGCATGTAGGAAGATCAGTACAACCAAGGATACCTGATCTATAACATCAAATAACCCAAGTGTAGACTTGATTAGTCGCCATTTTCTGGGGGAAATTATATAAAGCACGTCCTAAAGCTAGTAGCAAATTTACTCTGGGTGCAGGCCAAATACTGATCATATTCAGTCGGGTCACCAATCGAAGAAGTCTGTTGTTTATTTAGACCCGAAACTTCTAGTGACATGGGAGCAACAACACTGAGAGACACACCTAGATTTGACACTTAAAGGTGTAATTTTAACAATAGTTCTAAAGAAAATTTTTAGTCTTAGTGTATTTTTTTCTTATATTTCATTCAAGTCTTTATTTTCTTCCATTACGTTTAAGTCCTTGCGGAAACACATACATGCATAATTAGGGGTAGATTATATCTGCACA